CTTTCCCTCCCTCCGCCCTGGGTATTCACCTGCTGGCCTCAGTGTGCGTCCACCTAGGCTGAGCTCCACAGCCGTGCTGACGAGGATGCCCACCGTGTCATTCTCCAGCTCCAGCGGCCTTAACCGGGCTGGGGGTGGGTGAGGTGGGGTGGTCAGGAGTAGGGGCTGGCAGCCACATGACCACTCTGTGCTGGGCCCTGTGAGCCCAGGAACCCAAGGCAAGGCTGACCTCAGCCTAAGCACCGGGCACCCAGCATAGCGTTTGGCACAGCCTAGCCCTCTCTTTATCTGCCCCATCTCAGCCAGCCAGCCTCGAATTTGAGAGGGACCTCAAAGAGCAGAGCCTCGCCCTGGCTGAGCAGACAGAGAAGCCTCAGCTTCCCACCTGCTGCTGTGTGCCTGGGAGGACACTCACCATCCTGTTGTGGGGGCTTGAAGACATAGCCATGGTTATCCAGGCTGCGGCGGTAGAAGCTGGCATTGAAGGGCTCAGGGGTCTCTGTCCAGTCCTCAGCTGCCCTGGTCACACAAGAGGTTGGTGGAGGGGTGGCTTGTGGGGGCAGTGGTCTCAGCAGATGCAAGAAGGCCTCTGGGCAGCGGGACAGGCGGGGCCCCAGCAGGGGCAGGGTGTCGGATAGTGGGGCAGGTCACTTACTTGTTGGGGAATACGCGAGTGATGCCACCATCAGTGGCGGCGAACACGGCCAGAAGGCTGTACCTGGGGGCAGCAGGGAGGTGAGGTCACAGACCTACTTTCTGCAGGGCACAGCCAGCGCCTCTGGGCCCACCCCAGCCTCCTGCCCCCACAGGCTGGGTGGTGCCTACGTGTTGAGATCCTGGTCCCGCCACACGCGCTCCACCAGCTGCTGTGTGATGCCCGTGTCCAAGATCAGGTTGTGCAGAAGGAAGTTGTTGCCTGGAACAGGAGGGTTGGGGTGGAGGGAGGATCTTCTTGTGGATCCCTGCCCACTCTCCCCGCTACCCGCAAGGCTCCGAACCTTCCCCATGACCTGGCCCAGGACCTGCCCTTGGTTTGGGCCTGCATATATCCACACCTGCCCAGTCTCTGGGCTGCCCCCTTGCCGTCTGGCACTGCCCAGACCCCGCTGCCCCACAAGTCACTCACACTGCTTGGAATCTGGAGTCACTTTCTCCATGAGCTCAATGAAGTTCTTCAGGAACTCGGTATTGTTGTCTGAGGCATTCAGTTCCTTGCAATACTCTCTGGGGGTGGGGAGGGGCAAGAAGAGTGGGCTTGGGGGGATGCACAGGGCAATAGGGTTGAGGCTTCCCAAAAGGCCTGCCTGGCCATTCGCTGAGAAGCCCAGGCTTCAGGGAGGGGCGTGTGTATTCTTACAGGCTGCAGTGACTATATGCCCAGCAGGTAACCAGGTCTGGACAGGGGCAGAACTGACCTGCTTAAGTGCAAGAAGCAGAGAATGAGGGTCTGCTTCCTCCACCCAAGCAGGTTCTCCCTTCTGGGCATGGCCCTGCAGAGCCTCCCACCTCTCTTGTGTAGCTGGAGCAAGACGGTGCACCTGGGAGGCCCCAGGAAATGCCTCATGGCTGGCTCATCCAACTGTGTGCCGTAGCGTTCCGTGGGCACAGTGGGTGGAGTCCTGACACTGGCTTAGTTGGTCTGAGACCTCATCCTGCTGCTTCCTGGCTGTGTACCTTTGGGCAACTCACTCAAGCTCCCTGAGCCTTAGTGTTTTTCATCATACCACAGAGGGTGTCACCAAGTCGGTGGGAACACGTGGCTCCTTGGATTGGCTGTTCCCTCTGCCCAGAGTGCTCTTCCCCCAGAGATGGACAGGCCAAATCCCTCACCTCCTCAAGGTCCTCTCTGGGCTCAGAATGTGGGTCCAGAGAACGTAGGGGCTGAAGGGAGCAGGGAGATCTGCTTGGGGTTCTGCTCCCCAGGATGTCTTGGCAAGCAGTCCTTCTACCCTGGTACATGGAGCTATCTTTCCTGCCTAATCCCTCATCCATACCCCTGCCACCAGGGACCTCCTCACTGGCCTGCATGGCAGCAACTTTGTGGGAAATTTTTAAATGCTCTTCTTCCCGAGGCTGTGCTAGGGCCCAAAGCTTGGTGAGGGCACCTGGGACTGAATCTCAGTCCCCACTTGCTCCCAGGGCCTTTGTGCAGTACACAGCCTGCACTTCTGTATGGGGGAGAACACACCTGATACACTTAGAGTGACACCCATACAGCTGAACTTGGGATACAAATCACTTGCAATCCCTCCCCCTCACATAGTATGTACATTTACACTCACCCAACACATATTTATTGAGCTCTCCTGTGCCAAAGATACAGAGGTGACAAAAACAAACATGGTCCCTGCTCTCAGAGCTCCCTCAGGGTCCTGTGGGCCACACAGGCCTTTCCATACATTCCCACAGTCACCAATGCACACGGCCACCCCACATTTACACTTGGACTCTTACAAATGTACATGATGACTCACAAACACACATCTACAGAGAGTCACAGCGAACTTTGTGGGTGCATGCACGCACGTGCACACACATGGAGGTTAGGAGTGTCCAGAGCCCCCGTGTGGTACCTGAGAGTGCCCATGGATCTCTGTCAGTTGCACCCACCTGCCCTCATGCAAAGCCCAGGCCACAGGGGAGGGCTTCACCACCCGGGGGCCTGCTGGCCTCCTCAGATGTGGGCCAACAGACAGAGGGTGCACGCCAAGGATGGTCCAGCCCCAGGCCTGTGCTGGGCCCTGATCCCTTACTTTCCAGAGAGCTCTTCATAGCCCCCATCTCCTCATCCATCCCTGTACCTTCCCCCAGTCCTCAGTGAGCCACCACACCTGGGTGGGGCACTGCCCACAGGGGCTCTGGCTGGCTCGGTCACCACACCCACACAAACACTGAATGACACAGGACAAGGACAGGTGCGGGGTGGGGGTGGGGTGGGGAGGGCGCCACAAACCAGAGCAGCAGCTGCCCAGTGAGGGGTGTGCTGCGGACAGCCGGCGCAGGGCAGAAAGGGCTCCTTCCTGGTGGCCTGGGAGGGCAGGGAAGGTCAACAGAGAGTCCAGAGCCCTCCCGTCCGAGGCCTGGTGGGAGCTGAAGCTATGGGCACTGGTGCCTGGTGCGCCTACATGGCCCAGGTATGCACACGGCCACACATACGGGGCTGTGCATGGCAGGGTGACACTGCACAGCACACAGACACACAGCTCCAGGCAGCAGTGCAGGAGGTGGGCCCAGGGAGGTCGGGTTTGGGGAGGACACCTCAGCAAGGCCACACGCAAGCTACCTGGGAGCAATGAAAACATGTCCTTCAGACTCAAAGCTGCTGGGGAGCAGGAACTCAAAATCTGCAACAGAAACGGGGGGTTATCCGGCGGGGGCTGGGGAGGTGGGAGGCCAGGGGTTCAGAGCTGACGGGGCTGGAGGCACAGGGAAGAGGGTGGCTTGAGGGAGGGAGACACCAGCAAAGAGGAAACCCGCCACTTCCACGTTCAAGTTCGAGCCAGAGAGAAGGGGCGGGCGGGGAGGGCCTGTGGAGACTACAGCATCACAGGAGGAGGGCAGTTATAGCCAATATGTTGCCCAGGCCTGGTCCTCTGTTGGCAGTGAGTCCCTTGGCGTGGCTGTATATGCTTCCATACGGCTGTATAGCACATATACACGGACATACACACACACATATATATACACACACTGCTATATATATGCATGGTCTGGGGGAGGCACCAGTCTCGCTCTTATCACATCCATAATGGAAAAAACCGCATGCTGAGCTTCCTTCCTCCAAAGAGACTCTGAGGAATGGAACTGGCTTTTGGCTGCGGATTTTTATCTCTCTTTGCTGTAGCTGTTTGCATTTTGGTAGGTCTTGCTTTTATTCTGTGTCAGGCATCAACATGGCCAAACCGAGGGGGTTCCTCACGGGCACAGACAGTCCAACCAGAGACAGTGTGGGCAGCTGGGGGTGGGCTGCAGTGCATTGTGGGGGTCCAGTGGCCTTCCCTGGGGTAGGAGGCTGGGTGAGGGGAGATCCTCGAATGTTCCCACACTGTGAGAGGAGAGTCTGGGGGCTGGGAGGGCACAGAAGCGCTGCTCAAACATGAACACCCTCTTGGGCTGGGAGCATGAGGGCAGGTTCTGGTCTATCCAGAAGGCCTGTGTCTGGTCTATCCTTCCAAGGACCTGTCTGGGCTCAGAGCAGCAAGGGAGAAGCTGGGAGCTCCAGAGAAGGCATAGGGTGCTGTTGAGGGATCCACTGACTGGGCCTGTACGTGTGTGAGAGTGAGCACATATGTATGAGCGTGTATGTGCATGTGAGAGCACGTGTGTGTATGCATGAGTGTGTAAGCATGTGTGCATGTGTGCAAAGGTCCCTGTGTGGGTCTGTGAGTGAATCTGGGGATGTGGCTACTAGCGCTCCTCTGGGGCCTCTCCCTGCCCAGCTGGGCTGGCCACCTTGCTGGTCTGAGTCTGGGAGGTGTCCCTCTGTTCTCTCACTCTGGGCAATGCACCTCCCTATCCTTTCACCCAGATTCCAACCTCTTTTTTTTTTTTTTTTTTTTTTTTTTGCCACGCGGCATGTGGTATCTTAGTTCCCTGACCAGGGTTCGAACCCACGCCCCCCCCTTGATTGGAAGCCCGGCATCTTAACCACTGGACCGCCAGGGAAGTCCCAGTGCTTTGTTTTTGCAGAAGAGGGGTCTTCCCTGTTCCAAAATACTCCCACAGTGCACTGCAAGATTCTGGGGAGGGGGACTTTGGGTGCCTGGAGGAGCTGGGCAGTCACTGGTTGGACTGTTGCTTTCTGATAGGACTGTGAGGTGGGGTTTGGACACAAGCCAACAGGGAAGGGTTGGGGTGGGGAGGGGAAGAAGAGGAGAAAGAAAAAGAGGTCGGGGGAGAGGAAGGGAGACTATGCTATGGTTGTCATTGTTATCAGGGCCCTGCATTTCTGGGGTCACTGGGAGGGATGTAGGAGGGGGAGACAAGACAACTCAAGCTAGTGGGAGTAGGGCACGTCCTCCACCTCCACCCAGGCCAGTGGGGGCAGCTGGATCCCCTTTGCTGGACTAGGCTGGACAGGGCCACTAGGGCTTCTTAGGGAGGCCCTACTTCCCCATGTGGACCGGGGACAGGACATCTCCCCATGGCTCTCCATGGCCCATCTGCCTCGGTGTTCCGTGGGGGGCCTCTCTGTGCACCAGCGGCAGAGACCCTTGTGTGCTGTCCTCTCTCACCCCTCTTGTTCTTTGCCAGGGCCTGTGAGTTCACTGCCTACCTTTTCCCGAAGTCTCTGGCTTAAGTACCTCTGAGTGCCAGAATATTTTTCTTCACCCCCAGCCTGATACCCTCTAAGCTCCTTTGCTGGCCCTTGGGGCCCAGAAAGATCCCCTTCTGTTCCCAGCCAGGCCCAGGGGCCCTGAGTCTGCCTTTATTTCCCACGGGAGCACCTTCCATACCTGACCACTCTTCCCAGGAGCAGCCAGCACCCCAGGGCAGGGCTGGGCCAGTGGGCTTTTACAAAGTCACCAGGAGTAGCAGTGGTGGCAGGGGACAGGGGTTTCAGCGCCTAGGCCAGCGTTGGGTCTGCCTTGCTCTCCTGGTGGCCTGTCTGCTGCCCTATCCTGCCCCTGGGCCCCAGGGTCAGGGTGTGGGGCTTCCAAAGCCTTCTGTCTCCCCTTGGGAGGGCTGCCAGCTTGTGGAGAGAAACTGGAGAGATCTGAGGAGGGAGAATATCCCCGAGGAAGCCTCACATAAGCCCCTTTGAGGACTGATCTACCCGCTACATCTCAGGCCCCTTGCCCTAGTGGGTGGGAGGTGGTAGAGAGGCATCTAGCCCTGTCCCCACTGTTGAGTTGTCTTGGAGGGACAGAGAAGGTGGGGTGGGGGGCAGAGGCCTGCCCAGAGGGAGCGAGGAGGTTGAGGAGAGGGCCTGAGCTCTCAGAACACGCCGGAGACCACCCTGCAGGCAGGGCCAGGGGAAGGGGCTGCTGGCTCTAATAGAGATTTAGGGATCAGAGGAAAGGCAAGAACTAGAGGAGCCCAGGGGATGCTGGGGGGGAGCCCTGGAGAGCAGGGGTTTGGCTGGTCCTGGGCAGGGAGGGGGGCAAGCAGGGGTGTGAGGGCAGGGGGTGGGGTGGGGAGAGGAGGGTGCACTGGTTCTGAATATACTTGCCCTTCAGTTTGCTGATTGGCCCTGGGACAGTCCACCAAGAGAGAAAGCGAGGAAAACAAAAACAACACAAACACAAAAACAAACGAAAAGGGGGAGGGGAAGGGGAGGGGCACAAACAATATTTTATTCAATGGCTGTTTGAATGAAAATATTGTGTCTCATCATCATACCGAAAGGAAACTTCTTGCAAAAAACGACATGAGAGAGAAAGAGAGAGCGAGAAAACTCAAAGGAGATGAGCCCCAGTCAGCCAGGCAGGTGGGGGGCGCCCGGTGGGGCCGGAGCCCCAGCCTCCCTCCCAGTGACCTCGGGCGGTGGGCAGGCGGGGCCACGGGCTCCAGAGGCCTCTGGGGGAGGCCCAGGGTGAGCAGGACATGCAGGGATGAGCCGCAGGCAGAGGAGCGGGAGAGGGAGGGAAGGAAGGAGGAAGGGCAAGAGACAGGGAGGGTGGGGGAGGCGGGGATGAAGGCCTGAGGAAGGGAGCAAAGGAGGGGAAGGCGTAGGAGAGAAGATGGAGAGAGGAGAGTGTGAGGAGAAGAGGGGGAGAGACTGAGTGGGGAGTGGGAGGGACGGGAAGTGGGAGAGAGCAATGGAGGGAGTGCAGAAGGAAGAGGGAGGGAGATAGAGAAGGTGTGGGTGCAGGGAGGGGAAAGGAGGAGGCAGGAGGGCGAGAGGGAGCGGGAGGGGGGGAGGAAGGGCAAAGGGAGAGCGTAAGGGGGCAGGAAGGCGATGGAGGCAGAAGGTGAGAGAAGAGGTGAGGAGGAAAATAAGGGAGGATGAGCGAGGGGGGACAGAAGAGGGGGCAGGGTGGGGAGAGACCCGGGGGTGGTGCCGCAGCGAGAGAGCGCTGCGCAGGGAGCAGGGGGCAGGAGGGATGAGAGGAAGGGGTGTCTTCCAAGAACTCAGCCCCCAGGCGTGTGTGGGGGAGGCAGGCTAAGGAGGGAAGACACGGAGGAGGAGAAACCAAAAACAGAACCTCAATGGAAACCATGAGAGAATGGTCTGGAACCAAATCTGAGAAAAGGCGAGCATGCAGAGTTCCACAGACTTTCCGATGGCTGGTGCCCCAGCCTGCGGGCGCCTGGGGGGCGGGCAGATTGGGCAGGAGGGGCCGCCTGGCCGCAAGCGGCTGGCTATGCTGCCTGGGGCCAGCCAGGGTGCGGGGCAAAGGCGGGGGTGCAGGGCGCAGGCAGGGGCCGGGCCACTTACACTTGACCTGCAGGATCTGGTCACTGAGGTTGGCTTGGAGGTAGAAGGTGCTGTAGGGCGGGAGCACTAGCCCTAGGCTGGGGAGGAGGGGATGGGAGGAGCACAGGTCACTGCTGGAGAGAGGCGGGCCCCACTGGCACGCTCCTCCCCACAGCTTTGGAGCTGGGTAGAGAGGCCCAGGCTGTGGCATCCCCTCCCCCAACCACCAGGGACACCTCTCCCTGGTTAGCTGTGAGAGATTCAGGGCCTAGGGGCCTGGGCCCTCCACTTCCCGAACTCTCCTGGAGGCCTCAGAACTCTCAGCTCCAAAGCAAATCCCCATCCCACCCCTCGCCCCAGCGGCCTCCCCCAGCACACCACCTGCCCAGCCAGTCTCCTCCAGCTGGCCAGCAGCAGACTCACAGGGGCAGAATACTGTCAGTGAGCTAGGCTGTGGGGATGGGGGTGGGGGTCTTGCTATGACAGAGGGGTCCATAGTCCCCAGAGACTCAGGCCATGTGAGAGCCAGCTAAAAGCAGGGCTGGCACTATCACAGTGAGGGGCAGTCATGGGCTGGTGCTGGAGTGTGAAGGAGACCATCTCTTGGGGCACGCAGAAGACAGTCAGTACACTCTCTGAGGCTGTGACAACTGCTGAGAGCAGGCCGGTGAACGTGCTGAGGATGACATCCTGCATGCACACATCCAGGGATACAATCCAAGGCGGGAGGGATGTAGAGAGGGTGGTGGGGAATGGGGAGGCATCAGATGCACTGTCATGTCTCCACTGTGAGCTCCCAGGAGATGCTGCTTGTTCATGAAGGGCCAGCGAGGGACCCTTGGGACTGAGCACCCAGGAGTGAGAAGTAAGCAGCCCTGGCTGCTGGGGCCCCACTGGGATCGTGGTCACAGCCGCTGAGAACTGGCACATGGGGGTGGGGGAGGGAGGGGCAGCTGGGGGTCTGGGGCTGCGCTGCCCCTCCCTGCCTGCCCAGCCTGGCTCCACTCACCTGTAGTTGGTGCTCCTTATAGGCACCCAGGTGTAGTTCCGCATCACCACGTCTATGTACCTCTGGGAGAAGAAGCTGGGTCAGGTGCTTGGGGTAGCAGGCCGGGGTGGAGTGGTGGGTAGGAGGGTGTCCACCCTGACCTTCTGTCCCCCTTCTGCCACCTTCTCACCTCATCCAAGGACTTGACCAGTGTTCTGATCTGTCTGTGGCCCTTGTTGCCATCGATCATGCTCCGACGGATCTGGAAGGGTCAGAGACGTGAAGGGTGGGGCCCCTACCCTTCTCTGCTCTGGATGCCCGCCCCCCTCCCTCCTCCTCTTCTTCTCCTTACCTCCTCCTTGTTCTCATCCTCCAGCTCTGCATCCAGGAAGTCCAGGGTCACAGGCTCCCGGAAGTTGGTGGTCTAGGGGAGGCAGGGCAGGAAGTCAGGACTCCTTCTCTCACAGGGTTTACCCCCCATCTGCAGGCCACCCATCTGGCTCACCTGGGGCTTGAGGTTGGGGTGCAGCAACACATAGCCATTCAGGTCAATGGCAAACACATAGCCGTTGGCTCCAAGCTGGGGGTATAGATAGGGGTGCTTAGGGCCTGGAGGGTTGGGCAGGGATTTCCTGGGCTCCAGAGCTCTTCCTCATCCTGCCTTCCACGCTGCTGGGGGGTGCCATCTGCCTTCCTGGGTCAGGGACCCCAACATGCCGCTCGGCCCTAAGCCTACCTCTCAAGCCAAGCCCAGCAGGCTGGTGCCCCTCATGCACTAGCCCTGGCCCATGCTGGCCAGCTCTGTGGGACCTTAATGTGATTTGGCCTTCTCAGCCCCTCCCCTGGGTTCTCATGGCGCTATCAGTCAGCGGAACCTCTCCACCTCCACTGGCCCCACAAGGCTGCTGTTGCCCTCCCCTCCCCTCCCCACTACGGCCTCTTCCTGGTCCCCATCTTGGTAGAGCGCAGGGGGACGAGTGTACCCTTGGACTACCTGGGGTGTCCCTTCCAAGTGTAAGGGAAAGAAAAGCAGGACTCTGGAGTCACCCCTTAACTCTCTGGGGCAGTTTTCTCACTGTACATGGAGGCCAAAGACTTGGGGCCTTCATGTGGCTCAGGTTTAAGCATGCTGACACACATCTCCCAACCTTTTCACAACCAAGTCCCAAACTCTCTTTCCATAGGCCCTGGGTCAGCCACACAGATCTGGCCCCTTCCCTGGCTTATGATTCTGTTTTTCACCTTCAGGCCTTTGCCCAGAGAGTTCCCTTTGACTCCAAGGTACGCCTTCACCTCCTTTCTACCCAGGACACTCCTGCCTATGTGACAGACCAGGGGTCGACAAACTAGGGCCCATGGACCACATCTGGCCTGCTGCCGGTTACTGTACTGCTGTGAGCTAAGAATGGTTTTTACATTTTTAAATGATTGAAAAAGAGGGATTTCTATTTCATGACTTGTGAAAATTATTTGAAATCCAAATTTTAGTATCTACAAACAAAATTGTATTGGAACATAGCCATGCCCATTTATGTATGTTTTGTCTGTGGCTGTTTCCTCAATGCAGCAGAATTGAGTATAAGTATGAGTATTTAGGCTGGCAGAGACTAAAATATTTATAATCTGGCCCTTTACAGAAGTTTGCTGATCCCAGTTCTAGGCCCAAGATCACCTCCTCTGGAAGCCTTCCCTGACCGCCTGAACTCGGAGAACTCCACAGAGGTGTGGGAATCCCCATCAGCCTCTGCTGAGCCTGGCTTGTGTCCACAGGAGAGGCAGAACAGGGAGATGGGCAGGTAGACACTCACCGTGTAGTTGGGAGTCAGCCTCTTGATGTCATTCAGAGCCACGTCAATGCCCATCACGCCCAGGATCAGCTGGTTCTGGGAGCAGAAGCACAGGGTCTGCAACAGGCTCAATTCCATGGGGGGAGCCACCGTGCCCAACTGCCCATGCCCATGGCCTCAAGCTGCTGCCCCTGTCCAGTTTAGAGGCCTGCCTATCCGCGCTCCATCCCAGACCTGTTTTGGGCATGCCCAGCTTTCCCCAGGCATGACTAGCCCTTCCCCAGTGGGGAACCTCACCTTCTTTTCCCCAGGGCCATCCTGCGTCAGGTTGAAGACAGGAAGGGTCCCTGTCACCACCAACCCCAGCCCCTGAAGGGAGAGGAAGAGGATGGGTCAGACTCCTGTGGCCAGCCATGCCCCCATCCTGAGTGTTCAGAGCAGGGGTGTGGGGACAGGCCACCTCTCTTTCTCCTCTGTTTGGTTTACCACCATAAGGGGGCCCTCATGGGACCTGACCCTGTGGGCACATCCTGGGGGGAAGGTCACCGGCCCCACCTCTTCCTTGCCCCGAGGCCTTACCAGTGCATCCTCGTACACGTTGGTCCATTGAACCTGCTTGGCCTCCTTGCCCGCCAGCACCATGGGCCTGCCCAATACATCTAGATATTCCTGGGGAGGTGGTGGGGTCAGGGGTGGGGGGGTCATGAGTCTGCCCCTCCCACTGTATCTTCCCTGTCCTGCCTCCCCATGTGTCAATTAGCCACCAGGGGGCGCTCTCATCACACAGCAGCCCATGGTTCCCACGACCCCGCGAAGCAAAGACAAGGGGCTGGGAGGAGGGGCGCCCCCACAGTCTCACCTGCGTGTTGATGCGAATGGCACCGATGGACGGGATCTCAAAATAGTAACCTGTGAGGAAAGGGGAGGCAGAGGTGGGCCTGGGTGCTGCTTGGGATCCATGGCACAGGAGGCCCTGTACCCTGGGGTGTGTCTGCAGTCCTGACTGGTCTCTTAGGTTCCCTTTCTTTTTGGTGTTATTTCCTCTGAACTCATGTCCCTTTAGTGCTCCCTGCCATTACCCTGTGAATGGGACCAATGACATGGAAGGGGCTGTGAGTGTAGGGGTGTAAGGAAGCAGAACTGGGATGAAAGGAGGAGCTTGAGGCCTAAAGTCCCTCATTCTAGGATGGCAGTGACATTCAGAGTCCCCCTGGAGGCCAGGCCCAATTGCATGGAGAGTCAGATTGACCAGAAAACAGATGCAGGAGCAGACAAGCTAGGGACAGATGAACAATGGACAGTCAGATAGGTGGAAAGAGGCTGAGTCAGATGGACAAGTTAGCCACATAAAGAGATGACCAGTCACATATACAGAAAGACAGACACTGGATGAACAAGCAGCTGGAAAGCTGGACATATGAAGGACACGTGGACAACCAACCCAATGGATTGGCAGAACACGGCAGGCAGGCCCTGTGGCAGTGACACCCGGACAAGGTACCTTTGTTGGTGCAGGCCATCCACTGCAGGGGTGTGACATCGTAGTTGTGCTGCCCCACGGAGAAAGTAAACACGCGCACCTGTTTGGGGCTTGAGGTTACTGCCGTGGCCACCAGAGGACAGCCCTCCCCGGTACCAGGCCAGGTCAGGGCAGCCCCCACCTGGGCTGAGCCTCACCGTTCGGTTGGGCCAATTGTACTTCTCAAAGACGTCCTGTACGCGGTCCTCACCGCCGTCCGTGAACATCATGATCATCTTATTGCAGTTGGCACGAGTGATGTTGGACTGGGCAGGAGTAGGTGTGGGGTCAGGCAGCTTTCAGCCCCTCCCTGGTCCACAGGTGGGTCTCCTTCCCCAGAATGGGCCTGGCCCTCTGGCTCCCCTACCCCACAGTAGACAGTGCTATCTGCCCAGCCTGCCTGTTGGGTGCTAACAAGGCCATCTGTCTTGATTTCCCTGGTGTCACCAAGCCTGGGCCCTTGCCTGTCCCTGGCCACCCGTTCGCCCACCCAGGGGGCTCACATTCTGCAGCTGATCGAAGGCATACTCAAAGCCGGCCTTGTAGCCTGTGGTGCCCTTGGCCACCATGCCCTGCACAGCTTCCTTGAACACCTTCTTGTTACGCACGTTGGCCTGAACCAGGTGTGTGAAGCATGACACAGGCTGTGCCTTTTCGTTGAACTGCAGGGACAGTGAGAGTGGTGAGTAGCCTCAGGCTGGCCTGGGCAGGCAGGGGTTGCATGGGGCAGGAGGGAGTGCCCGCCTACTGCCCTTGCCACTCACGGAGGCAACGTTCACATAGTCATCATCGGAGAGTGTGTCCAGCATCTCACAGACAGATGTCTTCATCAGCTTCAGGGTCAACCCACTCACGCTGCCACTCCTGGGGGGTGGGTCACGGAGGCACCTGGTCGGCCTCAGGTGTTCTCCTGCTGCTCCCCCATGATGTTCCCCAGCAGCAGATTCTAGTCCCTAGCCCCACCCCCACCCCACCCGCCAGCATCGCTCACTCACACATCCACGATGATGACCATGTCCTTGGGCGACGAGGCCCCCTGGATATACCTGCCCAGGAGAAGCCTCAGTTAGGGCCAGCCTCACTGAGACCTTGTGGGTTCTTCCTTCCTTCACCCACATACTGATTCAACATGTTTTTTTTTTTTTTTATTTTTTTTTTTTTTTAAACAGAAATGGGGGGACTTCTCTGGAGATCCAATGATTAAGACTTTGCCTTCCAGTGTAGGGGGTGCAGATTCGATCCCTGGTTGGGTAGCTGAGATTCCACATGTCTTGCGGCCAAAAACCAAAAAAACCCCATAAAACAGAAGCAATATTGTAACAAATTCAATAAAGACTTTAAAAATGGTCCTAAAAACCCATGATTTTTGCTTTTGTTTGTTTGTTTGTTCTAGTCCAGAGCATCACAAGGTGACGATCCTGAGCAACATGAAGCCTCAAGGAAGAATAAGAAAAAGAAAGAAAAGTCTAAATCAAAATATGAAGTCCTGACAGTTCAAGAGCCACCAAGGATTGAAGTATATTTACATTTATTACTCACCTTGTTTGATATAATAAATGGGTCTTCCTCACGCGGGCCTCTCACTGCTGTGGCCTCTCCCGTTGCGGAGCACAGGCTCCGGACATGCAGGCCCAGCAGCCATGGCTCATGGGCCCAGCCGCTCCGCGGCATGTGGGATCTTCCCGGACCAGGGCACGAACCCGTGCCCCCTGCGTCGGCAGGCAGACTCTCAACCACTGCACCATCAGGGAAGCCCAATTCAACATGTTTCTATTGAGCATCCACGGCATGGGTCAGACAGGGTTCTAGGCCCTGAGGACACCGCATTTAATAAAGCAGACAGTCCTTGCCCATGGCATGAGTGACCTGGTCCCCCAATACCGTGAACAACCCCAAGGAGGGGTGAGCAGGTGATCCAGAGAGGCTAGGAGGCCTGTTCCATGGGCTCAGTGGCTTGTCATTTCCCCTGGCCCAGGCTGAGGTGCCAAGGGCAGAGTCATAGCTGTGTACGGGATTGAACAGGTGGCAGAGGAGGAGGCCAGGGAGTACTGCAGGAGAGGCAGACCAGAGGGTAGGGGTGTCTAGGGCTCAGATGGGTACAGCAGGGGCTGGCCAAACCCACAGAGGATACATCCACCCTCGGGAACCCCCACTAGCCCAATCCCTCAGTCCCGAGGGGGTGGAGTGCCGGGCAGCGGACGGGGGGCAGAGGCAGCTGGGAGGCCTGCCTGGGTGATGGGATCCATTTTCCAGTGGCAACGATGTGTGAAATGAAAATTGGATAGAGCTGGCTGCGCCCTGCTTGGAGGCCTGGTTATCGGGATGGAGGGGAGCAGGCGGGAGAGCTGAGGGGGTGTCCCTGCCCAGCCCCTCTTTGCTTGCTCACCAGGGTCTCCTTCGGACATCGTACAGGTCGATTTTCTTGGGGGCTCGCCATGGGGTGGCTGTGGGAGGAGAGGAGGTGACTGGGGACAGGCAGGGAAGGGCCTGGGGCTGGTAGCAGGCCTTGCAGCAGTGGCCAGGCCACCCCGCAACCAGCAAGGTGACCGTCCCGCCCCACGCACCGCAGGATGAGGGGGCCGGGAGATGGAGGAGGGTGGGGTGCTGAGTGGACTGGGGAGATGGGCTAGTGCTCACCTGGATAGTAGCGAGTGACTCCCGTGGCACTACCGAAGACCTGCCACAGGAGTGTGGGGTCCTGCCTGCGGTTCTCAATGAATACATTCTCCAGGGCCTCCGTCCAATTGAGCTCATTGAGGATGACGGTGGCTAGGAGGGAAGCAGGGGGCTGGGGTGGAAAGCGCTTCGGCTGTTCCCGCGCTGAAGCTCATCACAGCGACACCCATGCATGTGCCTCTCACTTAGAAAGCCTCACCTGCTCTCTGCCTACCCAGGTCTCCCTCACTTCCCAGGGCTCAGCTGGGGCTGCACCAGCTCCTCCAGGAAGACATCCTTGTTCTCATCCCAAGAAACATCTCAGCCTGCCCTTCGGCCAGGCTCCACATGGTCAGGCAGGGCAGCTGTGGCCTGTGGCCCCTGTGGAGGGGCCACCCAGGTGGCACGGAGCTATGAGCTGGGATGCCCATCCAGCCTGCTGCCTGGAGCTTGCGGCTGGTCCCCTGGGAGCTCACCCACTCAGCATGCACTCCGGGCTGCAGCCACAAGAAAGCAATTAAGGGCTCGATGATGGTGCTGGAATTATTCAGCTATTAAGGTACCTGATAAGCTGGAAGCCACTCAGCTCCATGATTAATCAACTGGGGCCAGGAGCAGGCAGGGGTGGGGGTGGGGGCTCTCGGAGGGACACGGGCTGTGCAATGATCCTGCTGCAACACTGGCACGTGCACTTCCACACACACACACACACACACACACACACACACAGCCTGCGCTTGTATACTGCATGCGGGTATACAACAGGTGTACCTACATCTAACCTCTATGTTTCCAGCCGGATGTGTCATGCCCTCACCCCCAAACCTACCTGCCCAGCAGCCTCAACTGCTGCCATGGGCACAGGGTCACACATGCTCATACCTACACAACACTCTGCCCTTACAGGAGGACACCAATGGGTCCTGATTTCACAACCCCCCACCACAAGTTACCCCCCCCCCACCTCCCTCAACCTCTGTGGCTGCACAGGTATGACGCCCTGGCCAGACCTAGCCCCCCACACACAGAGCAAGGCTTCTCTCAGATGGATGGACTCCAAACATCCGGCAACCCGGGCAGAGACTTGGGATGGCTTAAGCAGTACGCAGCCCCCCAACTCAGGACAGCCCTAAACCTGCCCAATGTGTGTGTGTGGCACATGTTCTCACATGTGCAGTGTACCTGTCTCTGCGTGTGGGACACTCAGAAAAAACAGCAGGAGTTGGATACCTGCTACTGCCAGGCCTCTGTATTGCACCCCCTCCCCTGGGGGCTACTTCTTCCTCCAACTTCTCCCACCTCCTTTCTTTCTGGGTGGAGCCCTGATGCCATCACCTCTCCCCGAAGATCCACTCCCCAAATGGGAGCCAGAGCATGTCTTCCAAAGGCTCTGCTCTTCTTTTCAGAGAAGAAACCCTTAGAACAAATGAAGAGCTGTGATTTATTTTTTACTTTATTTTATTTTTTGGCTGCGCCGCCTGGCATGCAGGAGCTTAATTCCCCGACCAGGGATCGAACCCGTGCCCACTGTGGTGGAAGCGCAGAGCCCTAACCACTGGACCGCCAGGGAATTCCCAGAGCTGTGATTTAAAGATACAAATGCTCCAGGCTCGGCCAACAGCCTAGAGGGTGACAATATATTCTGGGGCATTCTTCCCTCTGCTCTCTCTCTCCAGACTGGGGGGGCCTCTGCTGTCTTGTCTGCTGCTCCTCCCCCTCTGCTCTTACTCCCTTCTCTCTGGCCCTGCAGCTTCCCTTAACTGACCATAATGTGAAAACAAAACACATTTCTAGCATTGACTGTGCCTATTGAACAGTATGTTATCGTCCTGTTCCTAATTTAGAAACTTAGTGAGTTGTACAATTTCTATTTTTCTCTTTAAGGAAAAAATAAAGTCAGGCTCTCAAACGTTTCACACAGTACTGTCTGCCCTGGGAGAGTCTGCCTGGCAGTTCCCACTCCTCACTGGACCTCAGTTTCCCCATCTGCACATGAGAGGCTTAGAGCAGACAGACCATTCTGCGAGCCCCTCTAGCTGCTGCTGGCAGAGGGGTGTCCCTGACTCAGGTCAAGCGCCGAGAGGAGACCTGGCTGGGCTGTCCCTTCAGGTAGCCATGACCACATGCACGCTCACGCATACACTGTGAGACACACTTGTGCACACACTACAGCCCCCCACCTGGAAAGGGCATGCTGCTCAGCCCTGTGACCACACACACACATTCACGTGCCCACACCATCAGATCACACTGAGCTTGGAAATGGGGACCATGCCCCCCTCAGGCAGGCGATTACAGATTTAATTAAAAGTGACACAGTAAATAAAAAACATATAAAATGTAATTTGTGTGGGTAGCGAGGGGTGACTGGGGAGGGCGGTGTGGCTCCTGTTTTAATTAGCGTGCCTGCCTGTGATAGTGCCCCTCTACTGGCTCGGGCAGGTGGCCTGTGGGTGGCCGTTGTAGGGTGTGGGGGGCATCCACCCTCACTCCTGCCTGAGGCTGCCCAGAAGGCCTGGCTGACCCTAAAGGTGGAGGGGCCTCCCTGAGAACCCTGGAGGATTCCCTGCTTTCTGAAGACCACGCAGAAGTTCTGGGACCTTTGCTTCAAGAACCTCCACCCAGTGGGCCCCTTGGATTCTGAGGCTACCCTGTAGGTGCCCATAGAATTGTGTCAGAACCAAGAGACTCCGGGGCCTTAAATCCTGCAGCTAGAGTTCCCCATTCAGTGTTTGACTCTTGGCCTCTTCTCCCTACACCTCCCAAATTCTTCAGGAAGTTCATCCTCATGTCTGACTCAAATCCTTCTAGCTGTAGGGACCTGGTTTCCCCATTGTGCAAAGCTATACTGTCCCTGGAGCTTGGCATCTCAACCACCCTCTACTCAATCCCCCTGACCTCCATCTCCACCTCCCCCTGCTCACCAGGGAGAAGGAGGGAGGTGTTACAGGGTTGGTGTCTGTGAATGAGAAGTTGCTCCCTGTCCTGTGCCAATCTGACGTGGTAGGTCCTCAACCCTTCCTGCATGGGGCCAGGGAATGGGAGAGGGTAGGGAGGAGCTGCTCTGGGGACAGGTGGGGACTTGGCCCAGCACGTGGGGCAAGAGTTGTGTGCATGCATTTGTGTGAGCCCGTGCATGCATAGGGGTGAGAGGCTCGGTGTTTTGTGTCTTGCTGAGAGTTAGCGTGAGGCTGTGCCTGAGAGTGGCTTGATGCCTGCATGTGGGCGGGTCTGAGAGGTGAGCATGTGTGACCTTGGGTGTAGGGGGCTGAAGGTGGATGGGCACCTGGGACCTGGCAGCGCCCAGGCAGTGGGCCTTGCCCCCATGGTGGGTGGGGAGGGCTGCTCCCGATCACTCTGCACACTCACAGCCTTTGTAGATGTCCGTGGGGATCTGCACAGCCGTGTATGAATAGTTGACCTTGTTCTTGAAGTTTGAGTCCTCAACGAAGTCCAGTCGTAGGGTGCTGGCCTTGGACCCCCTTTCCACATCCTCACTCTCAGGGTCGTCCTGTGGAAGGAGACCCCCCAACCATGGCAGTGTCAGGGCTGGGAAATGGTGGAGTGGGGTTGGATAGAACTGCAGGCAGGGGGGCCAGAATCTAGGAGATAGGGGCATCTCAGAATCAGACTACTGCAGAGACAGAGAGATGGGGAGACACAGGGACAGAGAGACATGGGGTATGGACTCCTTGCCTGGAAGGCCCGTGACACCCACCTGCCCCACCCACCATCCCCACATTTGCTAAACCCAAATTCCAGAGCCAAGACCAAACCAAGCCCTTCCTCACATCCTCGAAAACCAATTATCAGCGAAGGAGGCAAATCTTGGAGCTAGAGAGGAGTGGGCTGCAGACACCCTGCTCATAAGGACTTGCTCTGTGTAATCACAAGGCGGCCTCAGCACCCCGTCACAGGAGGTTTGCAACGTACACCCCACAACTTGGTCCCACTTATCCCCTGCATGGAGTTCCTTTGGCACCAAGGAGAGGGCCCTAGCCCCGTCTGGGGGAGGGGCACCACCCCCTGCAGCAGGGTGGCTCTAGGGGATGAGCTGGAGAGTGGGGAGTCCGTGGGAGAGCTGGGCTCGGGTCGGGGCTAGCACTGAGACCTGGTAACATCCAGAAGGAGGGTCTGTGGTGCCTGCTAGCAGAAGGACTATAAAGGCCCCCGCTGACTTTCTAAAATGAGTTGCAGCCATCTGACAGGTGCCAATTACAGCATCTCTCAGCCAGGCAGGCTGGGCATGCGCCGTGCGCCCCTGCCCACCACCACAGGCTGGCAGGAGTGGGCCTGCGACTATAGTGTTGATGCCGCAGCCGAGGTGGGGGGTGGGCAGGCATGGGTGCAGGTGTGCAAGGGGGAAGGGAAGATGGAGGTAGAGAGTGAAGGGGAAGATGAAGAAAAGCCGGATGGGGAGGCAAGGAGAGATGGAGAGCCAGGTGGGGTAGGCGCAGAGCTGGGGGTCTTTGTGCCCTGGGAGGTGGGAGTATAAGCAGCTGAACCAGCCACATGTTCCCTCAACGACCCTGTGACCACCTTCAGCACCAGGCTCAGCTCATTTCCTCTCCCCAGTGGATCTAACGTGACGGCCAACCCCACTGCTCACTGGGTCCTGGTCACACCCCTCGTGCTCCTGCTGCCAGGCTCTGTCTGGGGAAAGGGTGATGGTGCCTCCCCACTCAGCCAGCTGTGCTCTCCCCACCCAGGGAGTGCTCTGGGTGCACCCTCAGGCCTGGGGAATGAATTACTGCCTGGATGGTGGGTGCAGCTGGCTGGAGGGCCTGCAGCAAACACCCTTTTCATCTATCTCTTCAAGACTGGATTTTGTAACAGCAAAATCCAAGCCATCTACTGCCCTGCCATTGCCCCTCACCCAGTGTGCCACCCCTCTGTCCAGCTCGGCACACCCTAGGAGGACCCTCAGGAGCTCCTGGATGCTGGGTAAAGCTGGGGCAGGCAGCTGCTGAGCATGGAGGCCAGAGCAGGGAGCCGGCCGCCTCTGAGGTGTGAGCCACTCACGTTCTGCTGGGAGGAGGGGAAAGTGCGGGAGAAGAAAGCCCCCGAAATGTCAGTGGCAGATGAAGGGCGCTGGAAAATTTAATCTCCCAACTTTCCCAACTAATGTGACATTTGGATTCTGTTCTGATAAGCTATCAGCTGGCGAACTTTTTCCTTCCTTCTTTCCCTCCCTACCCCCCACCTTCTGGCTGGTAATTTAAAAGTAAATGGTCTAGAAAGATCTCTAACTGTACCTCTGGCAAAGATTAAAAAAACAAAACAACGTAACAGGCAGGAGAGTTGGGGAATGTGTGCGTGCTGATATTTATACCGGGGCTGGGAGGGCTGGGATTTTGGCCTAACTGACCCTGGCCCAGCCCCACCCGGGGTGAATCTCCCTCCCTGTGCTGTCCCTAGCCCCCCAGCAGATGTCCAAGGGGCTGGGGGCAGGGAGTCAGTGATTTAGAGCCAGGGGTTGGGGGCTGCTGGGAGCAGGGAGTCTAGGGAGGGGGCCGGGCACCAGACTGGCCAAGGAGACCCCTCAGTGTCACCCCGACGCCCAGGGGCTTTGTAGCCCAGGGGCTTTGTACGGTGGGCAACTGCAGTCTCCTGGTTTATATTTAATGCACTGATTGCTAAAATTACAGCCCGCTGCTGAGGGGGGTAAGGAATTAGATTCAGGGTCTAATTAAAGGTTTGTTCTTCATTTGAATTTCAGATTCCAGCTTTAATTTTAGCAACTTCTCTGGGAGCCACGGAGGCTCAGCCAAGGGGGAAGCACACCTGCTTTAGCCCACCCACCCCTCCTTCTCTGCGGCCCTGCCTGCCTGCCCTCCTGAAGGCTCACCAAGGCCAGCCTGGTACCACAGACCCTCTGCAGGAATCCCTTCCTGCCTGCCCACCTCTTGGTGCCACTGGATACCTCCTGCTCGCCCCAGGCAACCCCCCAGGCCAGTAGGCCCAGGAGTGGGAGTCTAGCTGTTGGGTCTTTTGCACCAGCCAACACAGGTGGGGCCCCAGAGACTGAGTTGTGACACCTCTGTTTGCAGAGGAAATAACCAGGTTCAACTACTTTTGCCTCAAAAGCAGGCAGATGAATTTGGGCCTTGACAGGTTCACCAAAACAGCCTGTTCCATGTGCCCTGCACCCTCAGACACTCTTGTCTCCTCTGTAGACCCCCTCACACCCCAAATGGTCACACTTTCATGTGAGTCCTCTGGTGACGGGGACCTCTCTCTGTCACAGGGCCACCCAAGCAGACGTGAACCAGTCAGTGAGGCAGAAGAGCAGTGTAGCTCTGGGTTCTCCGGTCAGTCCCAGCACCACCACTTCCGGGGTGGTGACCCCTGATGAGTCAGAGCCCTCTCCTTCATCTGAAGAACAGGCACAGGGACTGGGCTGCCTCTACAGCTGGGGTGAGACTGACTTAGCCCAGGGCCAACACTGATCGTGGGGCCAGGCTGTGGGGTGGTCAGTACGAGGAAGCCACTTTCCCCTCACCACAGGGAAGGGTACCTGCACTCACCTGAAATACACCTGCATCCAGGCCCCGCCTGCCTACCTCCAGGAAGCCCTCCCCACCTGCTCCCTCTCTCCCCTACTCTCGCAGCACTCAGCATCCCTCTGTCCTCCCGATGCTGGTACCTGAACTGACCTAGGGGAGGAGGTCCAAGAGCCTCACCACTCTGCCCAGGGATGGGGCTGGGCCCGCCCCACACTGTACAGTGAAGCTGTGCCCCTTGGTGCCACAGAGACACAGCCCTGGAGGGGTCAGGGCCTCTAGGGAATTGTGGGAGGTGTAGGGCGGGGACCTGTGCAGACACAACTCTGCAAGGCCAAGCTCTGAATGCTGAAGAGTGCTGAGTCCTAACACTCATTTTACAGCTGAGGCCATGAGGTCCCAGAGAGGGGTGTGTGGCTCTGGCAGCTCCCCATCCCTGCCAGCATGGGTGGGGGCACTTACCAGCTCAGCGTCGGCCTTGGCGTCATAGTACACTATGTCTTCCTCCTGGTGGGGAAGAGATGCCTCATCACTCATGGTCTCCTGAGGTGCGGCCAGGACCCCCAGCTCTAAGGCCTGGAATGGCCCCCTCAGATTCCTCTGGGGCAGAGACCGCCCCCTTACCCATCCAGAGCTGCCATCCAGGGAGGGCTGGATGAGTCAGGCTGGATGCCCCACCCACACCCCAGCCAGACCGTCCTCAGGAGCTCTCACAGGCACCAGGAGGATGTGGTACCCCAGGTCGGTACCCCTGGGGCTCCCTGACTCTAGGATCAGGGTCTCTGCACTGCAGCCCTGCTGGGAGGTAGGGTTAGAGCCAGCCTATCTGCAGAGACTCTGGCTGAGGCAGTACCAAGGGAGAATTGAGGAAGATGGAAAAATAGAGCCGAGTCTGGGAAAGAGGGAAATAATGA